AGTGCAGAGGCCCTGGGTTCAATTCCCAATATCAAAAAATAAACAAAAATATTTGAAGGGCCCCAAATAGCTTAGAAGATTAAAGCACCTACTTAGGCAGATGGAGGGGTGGGGAGTTGGATCCCCTGGCCTGCCCTGCTGGCCCCACCCTTGGGAGATGCTGAGCCAGTGATTGAGACTGGGTGTAGTGGTGTACGCCTATAATCCCAGCATTTGGGAGGTTGTAAACAGCAGGATCACTACGCAGTGAGACCCTGTACACCCTGTCCTAAATACAAAAAATAAAATATTTGAACTTGAACTGCTGTGTCTGGGGTACACTGCTAGGATGGGCAGATAACCAGGTTACCACTGCACTGATATAAATTATGAGACAGTTTAAGAAAGGAAGACACTTTATTTATAAGGAGTTAAGAAGCAGAAGACAGAAAGCTGGCTGCGCCAGGCACGCACCAGCTGTGGTAGCACATGTCTGTAATCCCAGCACTCAGGAGGCTGAAGCAGGAGGATTGTACTGAGGTCCAACTGAGTCAGGGCTACACAGCAAGACTTTGTCTCAAAAAATGAAAAAAGAAAAAAGCTGGCCTGGGGGGTAGGGGTGGGGGTGGGGGAGGTCCCAGAAAGATGGATTTCCTCCTGAGCCTTTGTCCTGGCCTTCTTTTATGTTTTGCAGAACCCTTACCCCGGAACTTGTCAAGTCCGACCTTTACCTGGGCTGTCTGGGTGGATGCCTATTACCTGATAGGTTTTTTTCAGGCACCAGGAACAGCAGAGAAACAGAAGGAAAAAGGGAAAGGGGCTTTATTATCTTTGAGGACATGGAGAGAATGTGGGGAAGATGAGGAATTCTCTGGATTGGAACAAAAGGAGGCTGAGGCTTCTATGGCCTTTTTCCAGGGGTGGGGTTTGAGGGGATGTTTAGGTACACCTGAAGAGCTGACTAGGGCCTTCCCTGAGGCAATGCAAAGGGTGAAAGGAAACTGTACTCTGGGCTGAGTTGGAGAAGAAGCTGGGAGGTGGTCTCAGGAAGATGGGCTTTTAAGGGCTTCAGCCATATTAGATGACCACCATAATTATTCAGCAATTCATACCAGGGCCAGAACCTATCATTACCCACATGCACATTCCTTTGTGCGGCTTTGTCTGGTTTCCTCCTGCCTGCCTGTCTTCCCTCTGGCTCTGTAGGTTGCTTAGAAGGGAGACAAGGCAGCTTGGAGTTAGTGATTAAGGGGATGTGTGTTACCTAATGCAGCAATACAGTGACCCCGAGAGTAGGAATACACCACATAAGAGTTTCCTTTAAGATACATAACCCCTCCCCCTTCACAGTTATGGGGGATGGGGAGGGGTGGCACTGTTGGTTGGGGTCCGTCCCCCCCTGCTCTGCCTACGTCTCTCCCTCTCCCTGTTACCTGCTCCTTTCAGTAAACATTTAATGCTTTCTGGTAAGTATTAGCCAGAAAACCTAATGGCACCCTTATTCTATTCTTTTCCTACCTATACACCCCTACCCCTACAGCACACTGAAAAAAAAGAAAAAGAAAAAACTGTTTTCTTCAGGGACTTAAGTATTTTGCTTTAAGGAAAAATATCAAACAAAAGGAACCACATCTTAAATGTACTGAGCAGAAGGAACAGAGACCACGCAGTGGAGGACATAGGTCCAAGGGCCGAGTCTGAGTCTGGATTTCATTGCCACATCCCTCAGACTTGTGAGAGGGACTGGAAGGACTGTGCTGGATGAGGAGGGAGCAGGGCACAGGGCAAACATATACTTGTTTTGCTGCCCTTTTTTCTAAGGCCGTTAAGCCCCTGTCCTTTGCTTAGGACCCAAGAGGACCCTTTAGAAGGTGGATAGCTCAGGAGGTAAAACAGGCAAATCACAGCTGTCTCCTCCAACAGCCCAAGCAGGCCTGTGCCCACCGCACCTGGGCCCCACATCCATCCCTGCTCTTCCTGCTTGCTTGTTCCACCAGCCTCTTGCACATCGATTCATTCCTGCCACTCTGCAAAAACTTTCCTCTGGCATCAAGCGCCAGCTCGCTGCTTCCTTATTTCCAGGCCCCACCTCTCCTCCTGCCTGCACTGCAGGGAGGAGGCTCTGTGTGGCCCCAGATTCCCCACCTGGCCACCCCAGGCTGCACGCCGGTCCTTCTAAGCTTCCCTCTCCTCCTCACACAGCTGGTGTCTCTCTGACTGAGCACATTTTATCCTCATCTGGTTCCCTCTCCTTCTTTATAAGTTGTCTAACATTTACAGCCATCCCGAGGCAGATGTGTGGTCGTTCCAGAGAACAGACGTGTTTTCCCATGGCTCATCTGAATTTGTTTAGAGACACTTTTGTCAGGCTCATAAAGTCAGTGTGTCAACCTTCACGACTATTACTCTGCTCTGGCAACAGCTGGGGGAAGTCAGCAGGATCTCTTCACGCTTCTCCTGCTGGGTACTCCTATGTGCCCCCACTAGCAAATTCTGTTCTTTAGTGAGGCTTTCCTTCACTGCAGCAGTCCTCACAGATATCCAGGTCCTCTTACAAAGTCACTGTCATTCTCTTCAGAGTGCAGCAGAATTTTCCAGAAGCTAAGTGTGCTGTTGCTGTTCTAATGATAACTTGTAATGAGCTAATTAGTTATTTTTATATGAATTAATATTTTAAATTTTGTTTCAATTGCCTAAAAAAGCAATCATTTACTTATATACCCACGTATCTCCTACAAACACAAAAGCTCATTAACTCCCTAATCATTTTAAGTGTAAACGTCCTCAGACCAAAGAGTTTCAATTAGCAATTATCACGCCCCGGGTAAACCTCACTGGCTACGATAATGAACTAGGCAAAGCTTGAGACAAGAGTTTGGGGAACACGGAACCCCATTTCTACTAGATCGCTACAGTCATGTAGTCAACAATTGCGCCTCCCGAGGCCCACAGAGGCTTGACGATACCAAGAATAAGGTAGTGACGTGACCTCAGTTCCTCCTCTGTTAGTTTACTTTTGGGAAGAGGGGACAACAGGATAAATTAACAAAAAAAAAATGACAGCTTGGGAGTTGCAAACCTGGCCCTGCCCCTGGCTTCTCCGGAAATCCCCCGCCGCGGGCTGGCCCAGCGGGAAGGGCGGTGCCTCAGTCCCCGCCCCGTGACGGCACTACAACGTCACCGCACCGCACCAGCCAATCACGGGCCACCAGTCTGAGGTCGACCTCTGCCCCCGGCCTGCGGGCGGCGCTGTGGCGATTAGACGGCCCCGGGGAGTCACCTCAGCCGCCCGCCTCCCCCAACTCAACGTCTTCGCCGCCGGCTCCGCGCCGCCGCCATGGCCGACGTGGAAGACGGCGAAGAGCCCTGCGCCTTGTCCTCTCACTCGGGGAGCGCAGGCTCCAAGTCGGGAGGCGACAAAATGTTCTCGCTGAAGAAGTGGAACGCGGTGGCCATGTGGAGCTGGGACGTGGAGTGCGATACGTGCGCCATCTGCAGGGTCCAGGTGATGGGTAAGCGCTGAACCCTGGGCCCCGGCGGCCTCCGCGGGCCTCCTCCCGCGGCGGGGCGGCGGGTGGGGGGATGGGGGGGTCTCCGCGCCGCGCGCAGCCCTCGCGGGGCAGAGGCTGAGCCCCGGGAAACTGCTGCTCCTGGGAGAAGGACGCGTTTCAGGCAGCAATGGGCGTGACCAGGAAAGTGAAAGTGGGCCTTCTGGGGACGGCAGGGGCCGCAGTGTGCGTGCGGGCCGGCAGCGTGCGCGGGGGGCGGGCGCGGGCGCGCGCCTCGGCGGTTCTAGCCCCGCACCGGCGGGATGCCCAGGGCTCCTCTTCCACTAAGAGACTTTTGCAGGCGGGCGGGCGGGCGGGCGGGCGAGTGTGTGCAGCTGTTGTGTCTCCTGATTGGCTGCTGTGCTGCTGCGGCGGGGCTGGATTTTTTAAAGTCTGGGTTAAAAGGTCTGGATTGATTTAAAACGGGCCGGGTAGAATTCGCCACGCTGAAAGTGTGTCCCAAGACTGTTTACGTTTCCTGGGAATTGGACAATATCGGCCCTTTATCCCTAAACAAAACTTCATAGATATGTGCATATATGAAGGTATGTATTTCAGTTAGGGAGAGTATTGTGAAAGCATCTTCGGTGGCGGTGTTTCTTGAAGGTGTTGAAGGAAACTGACTTGCCCTGAAAAATGGGAGAATTGGAGAAAATAAAGAGAATTGTGCATATTTTTTGGAGAATGAGTCTTTAAAGCTACCAGAATGTAAATTTACAACAGTGGCATTCAAATATTTTTAGACTTTGGTAACATGGCCTGCTTATTTTTGCATGTGATTTTTTTTTTTTTTTAAATAGCTGCTTATGTTTCAGTCATCCCACTCCCACCCCTTAAGAACAAGAGTAATTTTCAGTGTGAGAGGGATTTTTAACTAGCCAATAAATAGTCATCTTGTTTTTGTGGGACAAACTTTGTAAACCCACGCCCCCCTTTTTATTCTTAAACTACTGAGAATTCATTTAACCCAGGACCTTAGCACTGAACTACATCCGCAGCTTTTTTTTTTTTTTTTTGTGCTAAGTTGCTCACTCTGAGTTGGAATTTGGGGTCCTCCTGTGTCATCCTCTCAGAGTACTGAGGTAATACCCATGTCCTACCACTCTGAGCTATAAATTTCCTTTTAAGGAAACTAAACTTTTCTAGTTTAAAAAGGAAGTGGCAAGAAGGAAAGGCACAGTAAAAAGGTATAAAATATTGAATAGAAGTCTAGTTAGGCATGATGGTCCACGCCTTTAATCCCAGCACTTGGAGGCTGAGGCAGAAGGATTGCTGTGAGTTTGAGGTCTGCCTGGCCTGTATCATGAGTTTAAGGTCAACCTGAACTACCCTATCAAAAAATTATTTTTGAGGTGAGTGTACAATCCCCAAGGATGATTGTATTCCTAATGTGCTACAAACAGGTATTACTATTAATAAAAATGTCCCCAAAAAGGTATTTAAAACGATGTCTCTTTTTTTAAAAAAAAAAAAAAACAACCTATTTTCTCCAAAGAAAAAAACTTTTCAATAGTAGAATTGCAGAACCTAAAATACTGATTGAAACTGAGCAATAAATATCACTAGGCTATTTCAGTCAAAGTATGGGCCACAAATAATTCACATTCATCATTAACTTGCTAATTATAGCCAATATTCTGTTTTTGCAAGATTAATCCTCACTATTTACAGCACCTATACTTTGGTTTCTGGAAAACAGTCCGGAGTAGACCTTTGTATTTTGTTTTATGAGGTGTTGGTGGTCACTTAGTGGTTAGGTGACAGCCAAAGGAAATTTGTTTTTCAGACTCCCTAGTCCTTATCCTCGCTTCATTCTACAAGGTGTCATTGTTGTGTTCCTTAGCAGTGCACTCTTGTAGACACTAGGAACTTCACTGAATTTGTCTTTTTTCGGAAACTTTAGGAATTTGTATAGATATGGGTTGATTTTTGATGATCTAATTATGTAATTCGTATTTCTTAATATTACAAGAATCCACTTTGTCCCATTTCCTTAATATTTGGAATTATCTCACCTAAAGGATTTATTATACTTGGCACACCAAAAATTTGTTACCTTCCCTCCTCCTCCCCCCATGGGGATTGAACTCAGGCCCTTGCACTTGCCAGGGAAGGGAAGTGCTTATTCTACTGAGCCATCTCCCTGGCCTGTTACCTCATTCCAATGCAAATAACACTCTCTCACCTCCCAGTGTCCTCCCTTTACTAGGAAGGGAGCAGATGGGATAGTGAGCAAAAGCTGAGAAAGGGGGAAAGGTTTGGCCATGCAGCAATGTTATGAAAGCCCAAGAGACCAGTGTTCCGCTGTTGGATGTTAACGTGACCATTTCACATAACCTTTTGGAGCCTTTTCTAATTTGTGCAAGCAGCAGTTAGGATCACCAATCCAAATATTCTTAAAATTTGGTGACTGCACAGAACTAGAGCCAAGTGCAGATACCATGTCTCCACTGATAAATCATGATCCTCGTGATGCTTCATTGTTTGCTTGTCTAGCTCCCCCTTTGCTAGTGAACTCCTTGAAATGCAGCCTTGCTCGTTTTGGTGTGGCCAGAGCATAAATCGTTTTAGAGAGTAGATGCTTGGTAATTATGGAATTGAAGAAAGCCTTGGGAGGCATAGTTGTTTTTCGTCCACACTGGAGAGACCAGGGTGGTGGTATTTTTTCAAGGGTAAGTGCCTGTGGAGAGGAGCAGATGCCTGAGCATAATCCAGTGTAAGAAGAGAAGCAGGCTTCAACTCTGCTATTTCTATTTTTACAGAATTATTGTTCTCCATTTATGCTAAAAACTTTTTTTAGTTGGTTTGAACTTCCTTTCATCCAACTTTTCAGCTCCTTCCAAACTAGTGAATGAGTGTATTTAACTGATATCTAAAACATCCTGTATTGTCTCCCACACCAAGCAAAAAGTACTACAGAATGAAGTTTGTAAGTTTCTCACACAACATACAGGTTCACATCCCTAGTATTTACTCCCAAGTAATTTATTAAACATAATTGGGACAGGCAAGATCACTCAGAGTTCTAAGCTCCTGCTTGGCAAGCACAAAGAACCACATGCGATGCTGACCCCGCCCTAGGCAATGCCTCTGCAGGCCACTGAGACTGGGCATGGTGGTGCACACCTGTAATCCCAGCTCTGGGAAGGCTAAAAACAGATTGATCACTGAGTCCAAGCTGCGTGGCAAGACCCTGTACCAAATATGTAGTTTATAAATTTTTTTTTTTGGGGGGGGGGTCGGCCAGATAGCTCAGCGGATTAAAGAGCCTGCTTAGGCAGATGCAGGGACTAGGGTTCAATCCCTGGTGTGCTGTGCCAGCCCCACCTCTGGGGTGCACTGAGACAGGACAGTGAATAAGATTGCGTGATGATGCATGCCTTAATCCCAGCACTTGGGAGGCTGAACACAGGAGGATCACTATGAGTCCAATCTACATAGTGAGACCCTGTAGACCCTGTTCTAAAATTTAAAAAAAGAAAGTTATATTGTGAAAACTCCTTTCCATTCTGTCCCCAGTGAACTTTTTGTTGGTTTTTTGAGAATCCTTGATTATATTCTTTGTATGTAAGCAAACACCAACAAAGAGGCGTGGCGTATTTACAGTGGTGTCTTGAAAACAAGCTGCCTGTAAAATTGATCAGTGTGAGTATGATCAGTGCGCATATGGAAACTTGCAAGATGGTGGAGCATGCCGTATTGCTCTCCAGTGTTTTTTCTAGTGATGCTGTCTGAAGCATCTTTTTGTTAGAGCTTGCAAAAATAGCCAGTAACCCTTCTGAAGTTGTTGCTAGTCATAAGTAAATTAATGAGGGGGGGCTTTTGGGTTATCTCAGTTGTTTAAGCACCTATTCTGGCAAACCCAGTCAGGCTCAGGGGACCATGGTTTGATCCCCAGACCCGCCCTTAAGGCAGTCTGAGCCAGCCAAAAAAAAAAAAAAAAAATCCTCTAAGTAAATTAATGAAAATGTTTTGTACTTTATTCCTCTTTATTTTCAAATGAGAAATTAATAGTATCTTAGTTATTATCCTTGTTCCAGGGACAAAATACCTAACACCAAAAGTTAAAGGAGAAAGATTTATTAATTTGGCTCACAGTTGGTAGAGATTTCAGGGCATAATTGGTTGGCTCCAAGGGAGGGTGGTGAAGCAGACAGGCACTACAGAGAAGAAACAGCTCTTGGCATGCAGAAGATGGCAAAGCAAGCAAGTGGAAACCATGGCTCTTTGTACCCTTAGATTGTATCCAGGCTACTTAGGGTGGATAGCACTCACACCCTTAGCTCTAATGCCCCTATCCTAGCATTGCACCATGAAGATCCGGCCACCTCTGAAAAAGCCCCACCTGTGGCCAGCTTCAAGAGGCTTGGGGGGGACATTGAAACATAAGCCATAAGAAATGGTATAATTGTTTTATCTTGATTGCTTACCTTTAGGGTTTTTATCTGTGAAGTGTTTGGGTTTTTTAATGATATTCTGAGCATCAGAATGAGAACTGTTTGTTTACTTTCAGATGCCTGTCTTAGATGTCAAGCTGAAAACAAACAAGAAGATTGTGTTGGTATGTTATAATTTCTTTCTCTGGCTTTTTCAACTGAAGGTTTTTCTCTCAGTGCAAATGTTTGAATGTGCAATTAAGACTGACTTTATGAATACCCAAGAACGAACTGTAAAGCAGTGATCCATTATGACTATAAAATGTTAATTCTCCAAAGGCCTTAATGGATTGAATCTGCAAGTCTTTTTATTGCTATAATTAAGAATTGGTTGGGGCTGCCAGATAGTTCAGTGGATTAAAGTGCCTGCTTATGCAGACACAGGGGCTGGGGGTTCAATCCCCAGCCTGCCATGCCAGCCCCACTTCCTGGGGCACCCTGAGAGGGGCCTAGTGACACACATGTGTAATACTAGCACCTGGGAGGGTGAAAAAATGGGAAGGATCACTATGAGTCCAATCTGTGGAGTGAGACCATGTACTAAATACATAAAAATAAAAAAGAATTGGTTAGCTACCTCAGATATGGCCATATTAAAGATTTTAACAATCAAAAAGAATATTAAGAAATTATAAAGTTTGTCAAAATACTGCTTAAATTTTTATTTTAATTAAAAAAATTTTTTTTTTTTGTATTTTTTAGGGAAGGGCCTACAGGGTGTTTAGGATGTAGTGACTTGCCTGTTCATTGCCATCTTAGCAGCCCTCAGGGCTAGGGCCCACCCGGCAGGGCAGGCCCAGGGATCCACCCTGGCCCCTGCGCCTGCTTGCAGGCACTTTAATCTCAGTACTCTTACGATATAGTCACTAAAGAGAAATTCTAAGTCTCAGGTATTTTTTTAAAGAGATTGTAGTTTATGTATTAAAATATATAAAATTCTTTTTATAATCTTGGACTAAAAGGTTATTTTAAGCTACTTAATTTAAGCAGTTCAAAAGTTTTTATGTCCTGTTATTGAGATCATCATTTTGATTGCTTTTTATAGTATTTGTAGATTTTTCATGCGTAGTATGTTTTTTCCCATATTGTTTTCACTTAGTCTTACTCTTGTCATGTCAGTGGGTCAGGCAAGGGGCAAATGAAGTCCAATTTGAAGTTTTATTCCATATGGTGGATGATTTTCCTTTGTTAAAGTTTCTCTTTCATGCTTCTGGCTTTAAAAACAATTGGAGCTAGTTGTGGTGGTACATGCGTATAATCCCAGCACTCAAGAGGCTAAGGTGAAGGATTACTTTGAGTTCGAGGCTAGCCTGGGCTACATAGCGAGTTCAAGACTAGCCTGAATTACAAAGTGAGACCCTGTCTCCAGAAAACAGAGTATTATTTGGGAATTGTGAAGAAGGGATCACTTTGTTGATCACAGAGGGACATGCCTCTTCCCAGCCAAAATTTTGTCATGTGAGGAATTATATTGCTTGTGGATGATTTAACAGAATTCATCACTTCTAGGAAATGGCTGACTGGATGTACAACTGATGTTTACTTGTCTTTATAATAGCCAAGGATAGATTGAAAAAATTTAAAACTCATTATAGCTTGATAAATAAAAAACAGGAAGACATTTTGGGGGGTTTGTTTTTGGTTTTTTTGCTCCAAATGTCTTCAGGGCAGGTTTGGCTGGCTTGAGTTGTGGGGATCAAACCATAGCAACCTGAGCCTGACTGCTTTGTTGAAGCAGCCACTTAAAAAACTGAGCTAAGGGGCAGGCCCCCAAGGAAGACATTTTTTTAATGAAGTGATGCTCAAAAGATCACTAAGGTCAGTGTGGATGACTGAGAAGGTCTGGGATCTAAGGAAGATTCAGGTCCTTTAATCTGACTTCAAGAAGACAGCATGTGAAGTTATTCAGGAACTAGGAGTGATTGGATAGCTCACAGATTCTCAGGGATGGAAAGTCCTCCAAATAGTGACTTATTCTTAAGTATAACTTCCACATGTAAGTTTATATATTTTTTTGTAGATGGAAAAATATCTTGACAAAATATTCATCTTTGTTGAATATTATGAACTATGCCTTTTATTCATAGTAAAATTTTTAGATTTTTTTTTCATATTATAAAATAATTTTGAACTTGGCAATTTCAATTGAAACATCATTGTCATCTTCTCTTTTTCTGTCTTTTAGTGGTCTGGGGAGAATGCAATCATTCCTTCCACAACTGCTGCATGTCCCTGTGGGTGAAGCAGAACAATCGCTGCCCTCTCTGCCAGCAGGACTGGGTGGTCCAGAGAATCGGCAAATGAGAGTGGTGGGTGGGAGCTTTCTCAGCGGTGCTGTTCCCAGCCCTGGTGAATGTTCCTGTCAAGTGGCCAACAAAGGCACAGATGCTGCAGGCAAGAAGGCAGT